AGCCTGGTTGTCAAAGGTCAGGTATACAATGCTTCGGTGCGGGCTGTCTTGCTCTACGCCTGTGAAACTTGGCGTCTCTGAGCTGCAAATGATTGGCGGCTCTGCGTATTCGATCATCGCTGTCTCTGCAGGATTGTTTGCGTTCGATGGCATCATCTCATGAGTAATTCTGAGGTTCGGCGACGTATGTTTGAACACAGTGGAGATCACCATTCATTGAGTGCCGTCATCTGGAAACACTGGCTCCGGTGGCTTGGATATGTGCTGCGAATTTAATCCCAGGAGCTTCCGTACTGGTCTCCTCTGTTCGCTAGCCCTGGGACGGGATGGAAAAGGCGGAGAGGTGGTCAGTCCATGATGTGGCGTCGTGGCATGAAGGATATTTATGCTAGGTTAGCATCGGTTGGTGAGTCACGACTCCCTGGTTGGGGTCCGGGAGGTATCTCGAATCGATGGCTCGAAACGTTATCGGATATGGCCAAGAATAGTAATCAATGATGAACGCGTTGCGATTTCCTCCTTTCTTCCCTTCCCTATGATAGTTGACGAGTACTGTTTGAACTTGTAAAACATGACTGTTTTCCTTCCAGATGAAGTTCTTTATCCGTTCTCCACCTAAATTTTTACTTTTAATCTATTATTATGATTGTGTGGTGCATCTTCTTGGTGCCTTATTGTACCAAGTTTTTGGTGTTTAAATAAATCAATCAATAAATAACAGTCCGTGATTAAAGTTGAAATCACCGATTAGTAATAATAGGCCTAATGATAATAATGTGGCACTGAAAATTAGTCCTAACCAGTCAAAGCACTTATTTCATTATGTCACATAAAAGTATATTGAATGACGTCAATTTCAATGTGTAATAAATAACAATGACTGGTCGATTTTATTTACTATCAAAGTAGCTGTATATAAACTAATATTCATATTGAAAATTAGAAAATCTGAAATGTAGAAATTTACAGAGAATTGAAGTTATACTGACCACTGGAATTACCCGAATAAAAGAATTTATTAGCCTTTGAAGATGTAAATTCTAAATTCAGAGGCTTTCTGATCTGAGCTAGTCTAGTTTATAAAGCTTGTATATAGCGTATTGGATTTTAGTCTCACTGAGAATGCAGAATGTACATCCAGATCACAATTATTGTTCTTTTGGGTTCCGAGTAGAATATAAGGCTTCAACAGCATGTCTGCTTTTTTGTCCTATTCTCTGCAGTACTCTCTAGCTGTTCCCACGATTACCCATGGTCTCTGATCTCCTCTTCGCACGACTTTTTCCATGTCACCCTTGGACGCCCCACTCCTCGTTTCCGATTCGAATTCCACTCGAGCGATGGCATGCTGTGAGATGTCATTCAACGTTCTCCTCAGCGTGTACCCAATCCATCTCCATTTTCCCCTGCATATGTGTTGAGCGATAGGTTCTTGATTGGTTCGTTCCCAGCCAAAGTTTCTTGTTGCTTATTCTTTCTGGCCGGCCAGCTGATCTCTAATATGGAGCAAGCGAAGTTGGAAGTTGTTGATACAATTCTGGTATTGCCCTTTGTTAATGCTCTTCATGATGGGGGCCCCAAGTTTCTCATCAATTAGTAGGCGACTTTCCTTCCTTCCAAACTTTTTGAAATGATGGCGTCTTCTCTGAGTCCGTTTTCAGTGCTTCGGAGGGAAATTCCGTCTGGTTCTGCCCTCTTCCCAGCCTTTAGTAGTTTGATCGCATTACATCCAGATGAAGAGTCTTAAAAGGGATGAAATATACTCCTGTCAACCAAGTTTTTCTCATTTCTTCCTTTCTTTAATGGTAGAACATAAGGCTTCAGATTTGACCTCTGAAGTTTCACTAGCCGTGGTATTATCTTTTACATTGTGTTGTTGCTAATCTCACGTCTTCCCTATCTTCTTGATTTACTGGCGAATAGTAGATAAGGCGTCTATCGGGAGTCGAAGCCGGACCCCCTACGTGTCTGGTGAAGATACTATCACTGAACAACTGATACCCATCAACCATATTATAAAGGTTAACTCCTTTATTATTCAACTTTCACGAACGTTTTTAGGGCAGTTTAATTGCTTTATGGTCCATGGAAATGTTTGACAGTTGGTTCATGATACGAAGGTGCGGGTGGGGAGGGAGGGTGTACTCTGTCTGGTTGGGGTCATCAGGATGCTAAGACTTACTTACTTTACTTCACTTTACTTCGGCTATCTCCTACGGGAGGATGAGCCGGCTTCATGAACATCTCGAATCATCGCTGCCCAGGTGCGGCGATCTGATGCAAGGTTTTGCGACAGGGTTATCCAATTCTTGTTCCACAGATGGAGTCCGTAGACGGTTTCTAGCCCCAGGCACTCCACATCAGCCTTGACTGTACCAAGCCATGTTTTCAGCTGTCCACCCCTGCGACATCACCAAGATGGTAATGGCGAGGGATTTAGAACTGATTTGACCAGATCGTCATCTGGTCGGCTCAGAACATGGCCAAACCACCGAAGGTGACGTTGTTGGACCAGTACTGGAATTTGGTTGATGTTGTAGCAACGACGAGAGAGTTCATGAAGTTTCATGGGAATTTGGTACGAGTGATGTCCCCAGAATCGCTCGGCCTTTTGTTTGAGAGTGCAGCTCTAGCCTTTACACAACTAAGTGTGACCTACAAGGCAGTAGGAGTGGAGTAGGGAGTCCACTATCCATTGGCAGCCGGTGACCGGAGTTTGGTTCATATGCCTTTTTGAATGGGGCCAGACATCCAGGACATCCAACAAGCCCTTTGTCCATACATCTGCCGGTGAGCTCCAGTGAGCTTCATACGCCAGTCGTTGGAGGTTTGGAATCAGGGTTTAGCCATCTCCCTTAGACTGTCATCCAACGGACAGTCAACCCGGTGAAGAGCGCCGGGCATCCGCTTTCGCCCTCTCACTTTGGTGAAAAAACACCTCCGCCACGTGAAGGCAGTGAGTAGGACTTCCTCAGGAGAGGCTATGTAAGACGCCCGGTCACATGGGAGCATTTCAAGAGGTGTGCGGAGGGGTGGCCAACCCGCAGCGCAAGGCACCCACCCCCGACCATCCTGAGGCTTTGGAGGCAATGGTGATATGCTTAGCTGAGTGACTGACTGGTTTCAACACAGAGCTTTGTACAGATGTGCAACAGTCAGGGTTACCTCGACTCTCTCCGTGTAGCACACAAAGTAAGAGAAGAGGGCGAAGAGAGATTCAAAAAGGAGATAATACTACTAATGTAAGACAGGAAGTGAGGCATATTAGAGAAGCTTTGAAACTTAATAATTACCCTGATAAATTAGTCAGAAAGAATGTAGGGAAATGTAAAAATAAAATAATGATAGTAGTGATAATAATAATAATAATATTAATGCCGACATGCATGTCAAACATGCGCAACATAATGACAACACTAACAATAAGGAATCTAAATCACCAGTAGTAATTCTATACGAGGAAGGAACCTCGGAAAATTTAGGCAGAATTCTTAACAAGGCAGGATTAAAAGTGGCATTCAGTTACCCACAAACTCAATTAGAAACAAGTCTTATCAGTTAAAGGGGCAATCCTGTGGAGCTTTCAAAACAAAACAATTTAGTTTATCTAATACTCTGCCTGCAATGATTGTCAGGTCAAATACATAGGTCAAAGTAGTAGAATAGGTAGGGCCAGATTAGCCGAGCATAAAAACCTAGCAAAATCTGAATAAGATAAATCTGGAGAATAGTTCAGCTTTACCACTCACTACATGCAATTACACACAACCATACAATAGGATGATGGGATAAGATGACAGTTTTAAAATCGAATGTTGTAACAGGGTTGAGGGAGAGATTGATGACAGTGGAAGCTTTGTTTATCGAATCAACTGGAAATAAATGTAATAGGAATGATTCAACACTCGTCCCAGATATCTGGAAAATTCTACTGCCCATACGGCAAATAGGAGAGAACAAAGAAAACTATAAAACTCAAGTTTCGAAGTCATGTGATTATAATTGATGAAATGATTATGAACCTCAGTAAATTTTATTCGAAACCTTGTCATCCAGTAAATAATACTGTTTCACTCACTGTAGGATGCATCTAATAAACAAACTAATATGGAATTACTTACTACCACAATGCCCAAGTTTTACACATATATTAAGTCTCCAGCCTTCATTGGTTCTTACCATCATACCGAGGAACCCAACTACGGAGTTCACATTGCTCAAATCAAGCAAAAGACTTCATAGATGGATACTAGATTTTGGTTTAACCATAGCTAGCTCTTTTCCAACCTGATCTATCCTATGTCAGCTAACATTGACTGTTGTTGAGGAAGGTGATACCTAAGCTAGGCATGCATATGTAACAAATGTCCTAACCATATCAATCGTTGCAACTGCTTTACAACCACATCGATAGATTACCCCCCCCCATACGTAGCATTCGACTATAGCCTAACCTCAATATTACTTACCACTATAGTATACCACGTAACACGGGAGATAGATAGAACTCAGGCACCTATGATGAAAGACAGCTAGTCGGCCTTTTCATGTCTTCCACTTCCAATGGCCATTTTTCATAGCCGTAAGGGAGAAGGTGGGAGCGAAGTGCTGAGTAGTACACACGTCGTTTGGTTGATAGCCAGCCAGCTGGATATCACGTTTACTAAGCGAGAGATGGTGTAAGTTGCCAAATTATCTTTCTATTTCAGGAACGCCAAGAAAAAAGTTCAACTTTTGACCATCTAGCTTTCCTGTTGCGTGTGAATGAGTAGTGTCGAAGTTAAGTGGAATATCTGTTTCACTCTCATTAAAGTCCCCACTTGATGTTATCCGTCAACAAAGTTTACCTACGTCCTATATGCTATTTATTTTTGCTTTTTATTGGTAATTAGCTGTCAATTTGAACCTATCCACCAAAAGACTCAGTTTTATTATTCTTTACATCGCACTGCTTTACCAAATTTCTACTTTTCTTTTCTTTTCTTTTCTTTGTGTGTCAGAGGGGATTGTTGTCGGCCGAGTTTAAAACGTGTTCTCCTCTTCCGGCTGTTATTTTTCCCTTGGACTTGTTTCCTATGGCTACGATGGATGCTTCATTGGGTCGTCAATTATTGGATACTACGTAGACCATATAATGAAGAAGCGCAGATTTTTATAACTCGACGACGTTTAAAAATGAATGAAACAGAATGGGATTATTTGGGTGCTGAACAACAAGCGAAATATTTATCAAAAGAACTTTGGATTAAAGAAAATTATCAGGTGAGTGTGTTCGTTTGTGTGTGTGTGTGTGTGTGTGTGTGGGCGTAGGCGTGGGCGTGGCATACACCTGATGCATTTGGAATCCAGTTTTTGGTTATTGTTTATCAGTGACGTAATGATGAGGATTTCCAACAAGTTACAGACATTTATAAACATCTGCCTTTGCTGGCTCCACACTGAAGATCAAATAGTCGGGAACAAACCAACCAAGAACCTATCGCTCAACAACAGATATGTAGGAAAAAATGGAGCGCGTTGAACACCTGATGATAAGACCGTCAAATGCCATCGCGCGCAATGCAAGCCATCATTCGAGTGGAACTCGGATAGGAAGCGGCTTACCACCTGCTGGTGAAGTGAAGTTTAGGAGTGTGTCCGTTTACTGGGAATTGAACCATGAAGCACGTACATGGCTGGCGCCATCGACTCACCTTAATCTCAATTAACATATTACTATTCTTTTCCATAGTAGTAGTGTGGTGGGAGCTGGCTGCAAGCCACAATTGTAGACAGCAATTTACACCAGTGTTGCGTCCCGAATCGGGGTCTTGACAAAAACAATAACAAAGCTTAACCTTGAGGAGCTTAGCGTGTGCAAATACGATTCGCAGACAGATGGCTTAACTTTCTAAGAAACGGTTACAAACAGATAACAGAATAACCTTCAGCAAGAAAACAACCAATCAGAAGAGGTTCCTCTTCCTGTCTGTCTGTTTTCAACATAGAACTTTGCACATATGTGCGGCAGTTCAAGTCGCCACACTCCATGTAGCACACAAAACAAGAGAAGAAAGTAGGAGATATGCATATTACAGACAGTAAACAGAGGTGTGAGACAAAGGAATAGTAATAACGAAGAACAACATAGTTTCATTGGAAATCATAAGTCACAAGGAGTGGATGCATCTGCGCCAGTCACTGAGAACGATTTTGAGCCATGTCACCAATTGTTTCCAACCATTGGTTTTTACCGTCCCAAAGACCCCAACCAGGAAATCTACACCTTCCTACGTGGCTTAAACTAACTGTTGTAGATTTCATTGACTGATGCCATGTTTTGTCTTGACTGCTGCTAGCTCTTTTCCAGCGTGGCCCTATATCAGTTAACATTGCCCGTTGAGGAAGGTGATGACTGGGCAAGCGTAACACATGTCCTGACCATCTCAGTCGATGTAGCTTCACAGTCTCGTCTATTGGTTTCCCCTCCTTACCTAGCACTCAACGCCTAACCTAGATATTGCTCACCCTATTGTACCACATAATACCAGAAGGAGATAGAACGCAGGTACCTATGATCAAAGAGAGGTAGCCACGCTTTTCTTGTCTTCCACATTCAATAACCAGGTCTCAATCACAATCATAAAGGAGGACGGAGCGGACTGTTGAGCAGTACACACGCCCTTTGGTCGATAGTCGGATATCGTGTCTACGCCAGAGACAGTGTAAACTGGGATATGCGAAACTAGCCGTCTGTATGCGTGCTGAGATTTCGTCAGAGATCAACCCGTTGGCAGTGGCTGATGGTACTTCCCAAGTAAGTGAAGCAGTCAACGTGCTCTACCACTTCACTTCCTATTTCTAATCTAGGAGTCGGTGTATTCTAATCCTGTAACATCATCTTGAATCATAGGTTCCTATTCCGCTAACAATAATGTACATGAGAATCAATAAATATCTGTTGATTTTCTCAATAAACGATCTGTTGCCTGTCCATTGTCTTCTGTCGTTAAAATAGTATTAGTCGTAGTATGTTATAGCTGAAATTTCTCTATAAATTATATTTGTATTTATTTATGTACTTATAGAAATTTCTTGTTGAACAAGAAGAACTAAATAGAATCCGTGCAGCAGAAGATACAGACTTGAAACGTTATCGTCGATATACTAAACGTGCTGGACCACCGCCAATCAATCTTGAAGATTTGTATTAATCCTGTTGTTTTGTTTTTTTACTTGACTCTTTTTTCTCCTTCTGCTTCTTCTGGTCTTTTGCTCTACTTTGTGGTGTCTCATTTTTTTTCCTCATATTTATTTATTTTCACATGACAACTTTTTCGTTCTGTCGAAGCCAAAGAAGGGAGAGAGAGAGAAAGGGAGAGAAAGGAGTTTAGTGCATTGTGCCTGTGTGTGTGTGTGTGTGTGTGTGTGTAAGTGTCTGATAGTCAGTTCAGTGCATGAACTTCTGTACTTCCTTTCAAAAGTGCAATCTGTATTCTTGTAATTTTATCTTCATCTATCTATCTATCTTATGTATGTATAGGAAATACACTCAATCAATTCACAATCATATGAACACAGGGATTGCTGCTTCTTTTCAGCTCTTATTACACCACACACTGGGTTTGCTGCTTTTTCATGTAAAGGTTTTCTTTTCTGTGATGCTGATGAATAGTATTCAAGCGTATCTCGCTTGGTTACTAACCTACTTACTTGTTAGTTGTACTGCTATTATTCTTACTATTATTAATTATCACTCCATGTGCCTTTCAAGATGGATAGTGTTCACCTAGGAGGAGGGTTGGTTGGTTATTTCTATATATATATATGTATGTTTCTTTGTTGTTTTTGTATTCTATATTATTATTATTATTGTCATTATTATTATGATTTGTATGAAAGAATAATAATATTAATAAAGAAAATCATTAAAAGTAATTCTTCTTCTTCTTTCCCTTTGAGTAATATTTCTCTCTGTGTGTGTGAATGTGAGTGTGAATATTCTGACCTTTAAGCCTTTCAAATATTGTTTTTTTATCTGCTCTTCTTTTAGTATAATTAGTTTATTCCGAAAAGGTGGTTTATGAGGGATTTGATTTGGTCTGTGAGATCGTCTTGTAACCACCGGAAGGTCTTGGGTCCGAACCCCTTGATGGTAGGCGAGTGTTGATGATGAGTCCTAAACTAGACTGATGAGACAGCTGGCTGACCAGTAAGGAGTACTGGTTTCTTTTTCAGTGGTTCTCTAACTGATATATCAATCTATGGTCGGAATTTTTTTTTTTAGGACAAATTAAATCCCTAGAATTCTGATGCTCTCTAGTGTCTGCTTAGAGGAGGATGTTGCCTGGAGTTCTAGTGAGAAGTCGTTACCAGTTGGTGGGGTCCATCCATTCGGTACCGATGACACCGGCTGGTGATCGCTCTAAAATGACGAATTGATAAAAGTAAGAATCATGGATTGGCCATTGAATCAGGTCCCAGTGGCTGTGAATAGTTGACGAGCTTGTTTTGTAACTGGTTAGGCGTCGAGTGCTAGGTAAGGCGAAGAAATCAATAGACGAGACTGTGAAACTCCACCGACTGAGATGGTTAGGATATGATTATATCATCAACCCACACTAACTGTTATTTTGATTTTGACAAACCTAATGTACACACACACACACAAAATAATTGTATATATATTTGCGACTGTACAGCTAAGTGAATGAATTCGCCGAAAAGAGACTCTTCGCTGAACTAATTTATTCTTATTTCAATTGCATTTTCGTTTGAGTACCAGGCACTTTTCGTCTTTCCTCTGTCTAAGATTTTGACATGATCCCAATCAAATTTATGACTATAATTGTCTGTGTGCATTGATACCAAAGAATACATATCATGTCTTTTCGCAACTAAACGAACCAGCTCAGAGAACACTGTTAATTGCAAATCATCCACCTGAGCTACAAATCTTCTCTATTATTTCAGTTTTATTGGATATTATAAGTCACAAGGAGTGCATGCATCTGCGCCAGGCATTGAGAACGATTTTGAGCTAGCCATATCACCAATTGTTCCCAACCGCTGGTTTTTACCGTCTCGGGGACCCCAACCAGGAAGTCTACACCTTCCTACGTGGCTTAAACTAACTGTTGTAGATTTCACCGACCGGTGCCATGTTTTCGTTTGACCGCCGCTAGCTCTTTTCCAACCTGACCCTATGTCAGCTAACATTGCTCGTCGAGGGAGACGATGGCTAAGCAGGTATGCGTAACACATTTCCTAACCATCTCAGTCGATGTAGCTCCACAGCCATGTCGATTGATTTCCCCTCCTTACATAGGACTTGACGCCTAACCTCAGTATTGCTTACCTTATTATACCACTTCACGCGGGAGATAGAACGCAGACACCTATGTTCAAAGACAGCTAATCTTTTCATGTCTTCCACTCTTAATGGCCATGTCTCAGTTCCAGTCATAAAGGACAAAGTGAACTGCTGGGCAATACAAGCGTCCTTTGGTCGATAGTCAATCGGATATCACGTCTACGCCAGAGATGGTGTAAACTGGCATATGCGAAACTAGCCATCTGGTTCCGTGCTGAAATTTCGTCAGAGATCAACCCGTTGGCACTGGCTGATGGTACTTCCCAAATAAGTGAAGCAGTCAACGTGCTCTACCACTTCACTTCCTATTTCTAATCTAGGAGTCTGTGTAGTCCGATCCTGCAACATCACCTTACATTTTACAGGGGCGAATCTCATGCCAAACATTCGTAGATTGCAGCTCAAGGTGTTCAAAAGACTCTACATTTTGTCAGCATCCTCGCCTAGAAGGACTATATCGTCCGCATATTCTAAGTCGACGAGATTATTCCCTGGTAGCAAGTCAATCCCTGAGTCGGTGAAGTGTGTTAGGGTTAAGTCCATTAGTACATCTATGATGAAGTTGAATAGAAATGGGCATCTTTGACGGATACCACTTGTCGTCACCGCTTCGGATGACAACTCGCCATAAGCCCTCACCTGGCTGACTGCATGAGTTTCAGTAGACTGCCTTAATCAGTGCAATGTATTTTCTCGGCATTCCCTTTACAGCCAAGCATCGCCAGAGTACCTCTCGGTTGACAGAATCGAATGCCGCCTTTAGGTCAAGAAATATAACAATTGTTGGACACCGGTAACAATGCCTATGTTCTAGAATCTGTCGAAAGGTGAAGATATGATCAATGCACCCTCTTCCTGGTCTAAAGCGCCTGCCTGGTTCTTTCGTGTTCGCACTTTTATGTACATTCCACTTTTTAAGATCGCTATGAGCAGGCGTTAATCAGCTCAACGCTAAACATCACAAATATAAACCTTTAGCCTACCTTACTGTACAATGTATTAGGTCCAAAATAATTTTAAAACAAACAAATCGATTTTGGTCAACTCAGGACATTCAACGCCTTATTACATTATCCTCAGTTGATTCAATTAAATAAATCTTCCGTTATCAATCACTCCCTCCACCTTGATGTTATATTATTAGATTTTAGAACTGTCATCTTATCCCATCCTATTGTGCGGTCGTATGTAATTGCACACAATGTGTGTTATAGCTGGGCTCTTTTCTAAATTCTTTATTTTATTCGAGTCATCTAATCTAGTTCTCTTTGCTTTTGTGCTCCCCTGGTCCATCTGACTGCGGCTTACTACTTTGACCCATGTATTTAACCTTAAAATCCCGGGTCTCTGGAAAATTCTACTTACGACAAATGGGAGAGAAGGCCGAAAATTATAAAAACTGGCTTTCAAAGTTATATGTTGTAGCCAGAATTGATGATATAACTATGCGCAATAAGCTGTGTTCGAAATGTCATCCAGTAAATAATACTGTTTCATCACATGTGATGATTTATCGAATAAATCAATAAGTCAATGTAGAACCACATACTGCTATTACGTCGCCCAAGTTTTACATACATTTGTTTAATGAAATCAATAAAGGACTATTGGTAGGATTGTAGGATAGGTAAACACAGAATTTTACAAAGTAAAATGTGCAGTGAATTGAACTGAAAAATCGATATGTACTCCTATAATATTGGCAAATATCAGTGTAAAATTAATAGCAGAGTGGAGTTAAAGAAAGTTTAGTTTAGTGTTTAAAAATGTCAAAAATCTGGAAGCTGATTCATCATAGGTGTTACATTTATAATGTCAGTAAGATTTTTCAAACAGGCAGTCTACGCCTTTTCTATACGCCTTTCTATACATAGACTAATTAAAATCCATTGATCTGTTTGAGTTCTGAGTGGGTGTCGGTGGCATAGCGGTTAGGACGCTCGCCGACCATGCACATGGTTCGGGGTTCGATCCCCGGCCGACGCACTCCTTTACCTCGCTAAGCCAGAAATAATGTTGGTGAAGAGGAAAGGTTGGGCATGAGGCTAGCAATCCCATCCTGTAAAAATAAACACTGCTACAGAAACTTCAAGCCACTAGCTTGAAGCCCTATGTTCCACTGGGGAACGTGAGGGATGAAAAAAAAAAGTTCTGAGTGGAACATCGGGCTTCAAGCTTCAACTTTGTGGTTTCGGTAGCAGTGATGCTTTTAACAGGATAGGATTGCTAGCCTCACCTAGTCCAACACATTCCCTCTTTGTCAGGCGAAGGTGTATGCCTGCTGGGATTCGAATCCCCGGACCACGTGAGACAGGGTTGGACAGTATTCTTCCGCCGAACCATCGACGCACAATACACATGGTTGTTATTAGATGGTTCGTGGCAATCGGAAAGAATCTTTGGACCAAGGTTTCGTTGCTTGTTGGCACTCATCAGTCACTTAGCAAGGCATATCTGTTACCTTGAGGGAACTCTTATTTCCTCTGAGATTTTAATCTGTGACAACCAGGGCTTTAGTCAGAGAAGTTACTACTGAACTATTTGGGTATATGACTATGGCTAATTAAAATTCACTGATATTCAAGTGTTGGTTTGCAGGGATTTGATGGGCTTCAGGGTTTCATCGTGAACTGACATCGGTTAGAGAACCATTGGAAAACCATCTGGGAGTACTGAACAATCAGCTGCTTCGTCCCACTAGTTTGGAACTTTTCATCAGTGGGCACCCACTGAAGTTCGAACCCAGTACCTTCTGATTACAAGACGGGCGCCGTATCATGAATTGGCAGATGTTGGGATTCATGGACCAGTGGCTTAGTGGTCTATGAGGCCGCCTTCTAACTGGAAGGTTATGGGTTCGAACCTTGGTGAGTGCGTGCCGATGAAGAGTCCCATACTAGTGGGTCGAAACAACTGTCCAGTAATCCCAGGTGGTTTTCCAATGGTCTTCTAAATGATGTCAGTTCATGATGAAATTCTAAAATTCATTGATTGCTGTTGTGTTTAAGTCTTATTATTTCAAATAGTTATACTGTGACGACAGAAGACTAGAGCCAGACAACAGATCGTTTATCGAGAAAATCAAGAGATATTTATAGATTTTTATGTACATTATTATTAGCATTATTGTTAGCAGAGAAACAACATCTTTTGATTGGTTGTTTTCTTGATGAAGTTCATTGTGTATCGCTTGAGACTGTTTCTTAGAAAGTTAAGCCATCTATCTGCGAATCGTATTTGCACATGTTAAGTCTGCTGTCTAAAATTTTGGCTTGCAAACAGCTCTCAGTACAATACAACCTAATCAATACCTCATCTGAAATTGTCCATTTGGTTAAGCTTTGGCTTGTCTTTCCTCCTTAACAATCAACTAAACATGAAGGGTTTTTTGGAGTAGTAATAATAATAATATTGATAAAGAAAGAGAGACCAGATTTGCTGTATAAAATGATATCAATCTGTTTTACAAGTAAAGGGCTAGGAATGGTTACAACAAGTGGATTACATAATGTATAGTTTTAGAAAAATG